CAATTTATTTTTGGTTTAATATTCTAAATTTTATAAATATAATAATTAAGTATTCTGTTAGAATTTAATGATTATACTAATTATATTTTAGATTTTTCATATTTAAAATGAGATGTTTATCCTGTATTTGATTGTGTTTATCTGCAGTTAGTTACTCGAATTCAGATATGAGATGAAATCGGATAGAGATGAACGGGTTTAAAAGTTTGTTTTTAAGATTTTTAAGAGTTTTAGACAAATGCTTTATAATATAGTATATATATATATATATATATATATATATATATATATATAAGAGTGAACTCCACTTTTGGTCCTTACAATTTTATCGAAAATCTGAAATTCATACTTGTGTTTGAATAAGTACATAAATAGTCTTTAAAGTATGTGTTTGGTTTTAGAACGAGTTCTTTGCCTCATTATGGAGTGGCATGCCCAGGAATTTCTCTGACCACATGCACCTTTATAGTTGGTCTTCAAAATCTTGATTTAGGGGTTGTTTGTTTACCTCTTAATAGTTCCATTAAGAGGCAGTCTCTGAATAGTTAAGAGGTGAATCTTGTTTGGCAAAAAAAAGTCTGCCTCTTAATTATTCTAAAACCCTCTGAATGATTTTGTATCTTGAATCTCCCTTTACCATTAAGAGCCCTAATTTCATTGTACACAATTACCAAACAATTATATTTCATTTTACACTATATCATGAGAGCCTCTTAATCATTCTGCACCAAACCATTCAGCAGTTGCCAAACAGCCCCTTAACTTAGGAGGAAAGTCAACACGGTTCAACCATTTAAGAGTTTAATTATGTCGATTTGGAATAAAAATACATTTTATCTCAATCGGAATCGATCTTTAAAAAAATTTGGAATCGATCTTGATATTTAAAATAAATACATGCTGTTTTGAAAATGAAAAGTAATGCTAAATTTATGACTTGACATTGAGAAGTAAAATAAATCATGAAAAAAAAAATCAAAATGAGAGAAAAATTAACAAAAATGTTGGGAATTGAACCCAACTGAGTCACTTTAGAATCTAAAATCTCTCCGACAAAACAACGTTCGACTTGCATGTGTTAAGCATATAGCTAACATTCCTTCTGAGCCAAGATCAAACTCTTCTTTTGACTATGATTTGTCCCCGAGCTAGTAAGCCCAGAAGGAAGAAGTCGTAGCTGCTACCACTATGTGGGCTTCTTCTTAGTCTGCTCGAAGGGAAGGTCTGTAAGAGYAGATAGAATAGAGTATGACATAACCAGAAAGTCTATGGTATCATTTGTCTTAACATAGTGGTAATAATGTCTATATAAAATTGTACTTGAGGTTGTGAGTTCGATCATTTTAACTTATTTTTGTTGTTAATATTTTCAAAAATAAGATTGCAGTGTTTGAATTAATGCTCTACACGAGCTCTAGAGCCTAAAAGTAAAAGATAAAAAAGTGAACTTTCACCATAAAGATTCAAAGTAATGACCTTTTGTATATAAAATGGTAATTCAACCATATCACAGTGTTTAATTTCTATTATAAACTAGTATTTGACATCGTGCGTTGTGTGATGATACAATTTTTTTTATGTAAAAACAATGTGACATTTGGTTTTAATGAATATTTTAAATAAATACATTAAAAATTCATAACTGCACGTTACGCGGTGATGATGATTCTAAAGAAAATATTGAAGATAAATGGTTGACAAAAGCAACACAGTGAAATACAATTGATTACTCTTCTTCTTCATCACTGTCATATTGTTGGCAAAACGATGATTGATTACTCTTCTTCTTCATCACAATCATATTGTTGGCATAACAACTGCAGTCTGCTACCGGCCTTCTTCTTTTAATCTGCTTGTGTTTTAGTTTTAGTAACTTCTTGACAACACACAACTATGTCCTAACAAACTTGATGTTAGTGTTTTAGCTTCTAATGACTTCTTGACAACAAACAACTATATCCTAAAAAACTTGATTGACACTACATGACCTCTGTCATCTTCTATAATCATATATATATAGAAAATCAAGTTTTTTTTCCTTCCAAACATGCCTCAGCCAATTAAAAAATAATTTCCTTCTACCTATGAAAAACTCTTCCAAACAAATTTTTTCTCCATCTATTCAAACAAATTAATCCACACAAACAATTTTATCCATACATAACTTAATGACTAACCAACACCCTTATTTCTATAGGCACGGAACTACCTTGGCGGGGTGGGGGGGGGGGGCAATGGTCCGATGATTTTGAGCATAAATATTCCATTGACCTCTAAAAAAAGTGGCCTAATCCTTGGGGATGGGCGAGACAAGCTACTTTTAGCCAGGAGCCTCAGCTCTTTGTCATTGCTCCAGTTGGCCCCTTTTCTTCCTTAAGTCAGTGGGGATTGTAAATTTTATAAAATCCCCACTTGTCATTCAATTTACTACTTTGTTGGATCATTAAAACTCGTCAAACATTTAACTGTTGATTATCATTTTATTATAACTTCAAGTAACACAAACACATCTAACACGTTTTTGTCATGTCTTCGGTGTAACCACTAACAACAGAAGAATGTAGGTGCTTTTTCTGGATATGTATGGTACAAAGTAATAAGCATTCAATGCTAACTGATACTATTAAATATTGTTCTTTAGCTAAATATTTAAATCTATAAGCTTCTTCGTTATTTACAACAGTTCTTTACTTGAAAGATGGAATATTTTATATATATATTTGTTCACGAGCTTTTTAAAAATACATCTATATATCTATATGGAATAGAATGGAACCCCTTGTGATTCATGTGAATAATACTTGTTCCTCTTATGTATCCATGTCTTATTGCTTAATGAATTCCTCTTATGAGGTCTTAATTGTTGAATTAACCGGTCAAGAGTTACATTAATTATTGTCAACGAACAAGAATACCGAAAAAGATACAACATTCATGATACAAGACTCATTCCAAGTACATCTGAATAACGGATTTGACGGAATTGAAGATAATATGGTAACCCTTTTCGGTAGGATGAAATGCATCCCAAAATACGTACTTTAAGACATCATCACACAACGGAGAACTCGGATTGCACCCAAAATCAGCTTCGATTAAACCAGTTCCACAACAACCCTTGTGAACTTGTTCGAAACCTATCAAGAAAAACAAGAATGTGTTGAGTACATAAGGATCAAAAATGGTTACGAGTTTATAGGAAGCCAAAAATGTCTCAAGGATTGTAATAGACTCTTCTATAGAACCAAACAATATATCCAAAATGGTTACAATAAGTTTATATGATATTTTTGGACGTCTTAACAAGCTTTTTAGTACACTTTTGAAATTAAGCGTCAAACTTTTATATGACATTATTTGAAAAATATGTTATATAAAATAGCTAATATGATATTTTATGTAAAAAAAAATGTCCTAAAAGCTTGTTAAGATGACTAAAAACGTCATATAAACTTACTGTAATACTTTTAGATAAGATCTTTATAAAATTAAGTACTATAAAACAGTCTATTGGAACACCTAAAAATTTTTGACGTCCTATAAACCCGATTTTATTGTAGCGAACAGACATAGATTGAGTGACATGGTTACCATATTTAGCCTTTTGTTGAACCATATCGATGATAGGGTTGTATATATCTGCATACATGATCTTGGTGCCGGGTCTTTGAAGGCTTTTAAGATTATTTTGCAGCATTCCATTGACGTTTCTTGAAAGAGAATTATAACTTTCGATACATTTGCGACCAGTGATGGGTTTCTTTGCGTTTAGGGTTATGATCGCGGGCAAGCATCCCATTGGGGGTATACCCACAACCCCTATCTTCTTTGCACCCAAATCCATCAACTCCTGTAACATCAATTGATTTAAAATCCAATACGGTTAAAAGATTTAATTTTTAATTTTTAAAAATGATTTTTTCTTTATTTTTTAAATTTTTTTTATTTCTCCGCCGGAAATCCGCTGGAAAAGGTTAGAAGTTTTTTTAATTTTTTAAAAATAAATTTTCTAAACATATTTCCGGCGGTTTTATTTTTTTTTTTAAAATTATTATTTTTTCGGCAGAAATCCGCCGGAAAAGGTTAAAAGATTTATTTTTTATTTTTTTAACAAAGATTTCTCTAAAAACATTTCCGGCGGATTTCCTGCTGATTTATTTTTCTAATTTTTTTTTTAATTTTCCGCTGGAAATCCGCCGGAAAAGGTTAGAAGGTTTTTATTTAATTTTTAAAAATTATTTTTCTAAAAATATTTCCAACGGAAAATTTAAAAATAAATCCGCCTGAAATGTTTTTAGAAAAATCATTTTTAATTTTTTTTTCAAAGATTAATTAATTTTAAAAGATTAATTAGTCCTTAATTAAGAATCCACCGGAAATACAATCAGTTTAATTTTTCTAGCGGATTTTTGGCCGAAGTCAATAAAAGTTGACTTTTTTAACGTTTGCCGAAAATCCACCGGAAAATTACCAGCAGAAAACGTCCGCCAAAAAAGGCGTCGGAAATGCCCAGTTTTTTAATAGTGCAATAAATTTATGAGAACTAGGTAGGGTTAATTGAATGCATGGAAACAGTAGGTATTTAATTGAAGAGGCCAACAACAGTAGTCAACTGTTTCTTAGCTAGGATAATACACATATTCTGACTTTTGTTTTTTTATCCAAAACCTCCAAGCCGACCCGGACCCACAACGTGCCATGTCCCAAGAAATCGATCATGTGAGAGGCAAATCAGATACACGATAACCTATTAGGTTTCTAGTTTAAAAGCCTAGCGCCCACGTAGAGGCCAACATTAGAAATGAATTTATAACTCATGCACACACTACAATTACGAGTTTGTGCAAAAGTTTCTTTACCCGGCATCAGCAAAAATCGTGCCATGCCACAACAATATCATGTGAGTGGCAATTTAGGTGCACAATGTGACGACGACGTGTTAGATGGCTCATTTAAGAGTTCGGTACTCACAACGGAGTGGTTATATATGGAGGAGTTGTAACTCATGCATTATAGCTACGAGACGTGAATTTTCACGTGTTTGAACAAGTTTCACTACAACAAAATCGGGTTTATAGGACTCTACCAAATTGTAAGCGTCCTAATAGACCTCTTTATAGGACTTAGTTTATAGAACCAAAAAAATAAAGTGTCATATCTAATGGTGTTGTATTAAGTTTATATGACGTTTTTTTGATGTCGTAATAAGTTTTTTATGACACTTTTAATATAAAGCGTCCAATTATCAACTTTATAAGACACTATTTGAAAAAATGTCCTATAAAAACAAATGTCATATAAAAAATTGAGTTTATAGGACAATTTCTCAAAAGTGTCCTATAAAGTTGCTAATACGACACTTTGTATTAATAAATGTCCTTAAAAACTTGTTAATATGTTCAAAAGTGTCGTATAAACTTATTACAACACATTTAGATAAGACGATTTATATTTTGGTCTTATAAATTAAGTCCCATAAAGCAGTCTATCAGAACACTTAGAGATTGGGGGTGTCCTATAAACCCAATTTTGTTGTAATGTTTATTATCCCAAAATTCCAACACTATAACAAAATTCGGTTTATATGATGCTTAAAATATATAAACATCCTAATAGCATACTTTTATAGGTTTATTTATCCCTTTTAAGCATTTTATTTATGACGTTTTTTAAATAAAGTGTCGTATTAACTATTTTATAAGACAATTTTGAGAAAATAACCTATAAACCGATCTTTTATAGGACACTTGATTTCCCCCGGGTTCTAAATAAGGTTTATAAACAGGGTGAAATCACGTTGACTTCTCCCTCCCTCCCTAGTCAAACCGGATTTTACGTATTTTTGATCGATTTTAAAGGTACATCTGTTTAAAGAAATTCGTAGATCCGTTTCTGGTTATATATAAATGGTCGAAAGCTACCGAAGGTAGATACATATTATTCTAGAGGGTCACCCATCGGTTTCATGAGTTATGATATATATATATATATATATATATATATATATGTAGGTGGCCAATCACATGAATTATTAATTACTAATAGCCACATGATTCTCACTTCTGCAAAATGGTTGAGAATTAACTACAATAAAATTGGATTTATATGACGTAAAAATGTTTTAGTATATAGACTATTTTATAGAATTAAGGGGTCGTTTACTAAACACTTACTCGGGTAAGCGCTTACCAAATCACACTATCTCACCGGATGAATATGGTAAGAGCGAGACAAGGACCAAGAGTCTTACCCGGTAAGTGAGGGCGACAACTCTTACCATACGATGTCGTTTTAGTAGACTAAAATCTTACACGGTAAGTAAATAATATTGTTAAATTTTACCGGTAAGCACCTATGAGTAAGTGTTTGGTAAACGGCCCCTAAATGGAATATATGCGTCATACTTTTAAAATAAAATGTTGTATTAACTTTTTTACGTCACCATTTTGAAAAGTGTCATATGAACACATTTTTATAGGACATTTTGTTTTATAAGACGGGTTTTCAAAATAATGTAATATAAAAAAAAGTTACACAAACGGCTTTATCAAAAGTGCTCTAAAAACTTGTTAGGACGTTAAAAACGTCTTATTTTATTAAGATAGCAAGACTTATACGACATCATATAAACCCGGTTTTATTGTAGTGAACGTCTATCAATCAAGATTATAGCAAGAAAGATCGATGTATTATTGTTACAAAGACGAAGATTATAATACCAATTAAGGTGTAAGATGGTAATTACCTGCAAGAATTGTTCGATGAGCTGCCACTGATACTTCTGATACTCGGATATCGTAGGGTAAGATGATTGTCGAATACGCAGAGGTCCGTAGTAGTTAAAAGTGAAATCATTTGTACCCGAGCTAACAAGGTAGCCCGCCCTTCCGACCAAATCTTCTGTTCTTTCCTTGCCTATTGCCACCTCTAGTTTCGCTTTATATTCCTTGAACAAGTCCAGTTGTTGCGATTGCGTAAGTGCACTCTACAAAAACAAGATCGTTAATTAAACACCCAAAACCGTAAACCCTAATCCTGTACGTTAATTTGGTTCAATCTCCACTTATTATAATACCAATCAAGCTAGAACGACATAAATACAAATACGTACATGTACTACTGTTCTAAAATCTTAAATTCAATTACTGGGATATACATTACGAAATTCACCAAGATCATGTGACGTTTCTAAAGACGCGTGGCCCCAAAGCAATAAAAACCTTCGAATGCCGAAGTAAAAGGTACGATAAACTTATCTGGAACTCATGAATGTTCAGTCTTCTGATCACATATATAGTATACGTAATAAATTTCCAAGGACCACGATGAATACGAACAAAACTCTAGGTGTCGAACGTCCCACGCATGCATAAATCGTAGTCGCAATTAACACATTCGATATGTACCAATCATTTAAAGTTTCTGCCATAGATGAAGTTGAAAACAAAAGCTTTTGTACTTCTTGGTTTTATAGTTTTACTACGGTTTTGTCTTACAAAACTTGATTAAAACCAAATAATATCCGTAACGGATTTAAATGGATAAAATGAAGATTTTGAAGTCTTAACGTATTCTTTTTTTTGTTCCAAAAGATTTTTCAAAGCTTTCTCCGAAATGGAGAAAATAAGATACAAATCAACGATAAACATTTTCAAATTTCGAAAACTTTTCATGTATAGTAATCGTTTCGTATAAAATTTATCGGGATATTGAATTTATTGAATTAATATGATCGATGTTGATATTTTTAAATTGGAGAAACTAAAATCCAGTGTGTATATATATATATATATATATATATATATATATATATATATATATATTATTCACTATAATAAAATTGAGTTTATAGGATACCCTCAATCTATAAGCATCTCAATAGATCATTTCATAAGACTTAATTTATAGGATCAAAATATAAAGTGTCATATCTAAAGTGTTGTAATAAGTTTATATGATATTTTTGGACGTTTTAACAAGTTTTTTTAGGACATTTTTAATACAAATTATCGCATTAGCAACTTTATAGGACACTTTTGAGAAAGTGTCCTATAAATTCAATTTTTTATAAGACAGTTTTTCAAATAATGTCCTATAAAGTTGCTAATGAAACGCTTTACATTAAAAGTGTTATAAAAAACTTATTACGACGTCAAAAAACGTCATATAAACTTCTTACAACACCTTTACATATGATGTTTTATTTTTTTGGTCCTATAAACTAAATTTAGGACACTTAAAAATTGGGAGTGTCCAGTAAACCCGATTTTGTTGTAGTGATTTATCTGTTTTAAAGAAATTATAAAGAATGTGTTGGAAATACCGATGAAACCGAAGAATTGAAGAGATGAGAGAGAAAGGGGTTACACTAATTTGGGAGGTAAGATCATCGAAACCAGCACCAGCAGAAGCAAAGCTAACACCAGACATGAGGTCTTCAATGGTTAAACTTGGATCCAGATAAGGTGGCAAATTCTTTTTTACCCCCACAAATTCAGCTGCATCATCAGTCATGACATGTAAATTAATGAATGTAAAACAAAATTTTGTTAGAGTTACGATGATAACAACATAATGGTACCATGTGAAACGAAATTAAAACTGATCATCTACATTCATGATCTTTATATATATATATATAACGTGAAAAGAAATGGTCACATTTACCTGATCACATGAAAGTAAGTAAAGATATATATAATATATATACACATATACATGAAACACGAAAGATTGCGTAAGAATAAAAGTTAAGGTGAGAAGTGTAAGAAGAGATTTGGACCCTTGATCACTTTTAATCTCAAAACAACCCATGGATTCCGTTTTAGAAGAGAATTGATTTGGTGTATCTCATTAGTATTGATTTAGGGGTTCTCTTTGATTAGGATTGATTCAAGGGTGGAGATTCATTCTTACATTTCTCACTGTTACTCAAATAAATGAAAAACTGAGTAACATCATAATAGTTATTCATTTGTACGGTATGCATATGTGCATACAAACAATTTAATTGTGTTGTATGTATATGTGCATTCAAACAATTTAATTGTGTTGTATGTGTATGTGCATGACATGCAATCGTGCATAGAAACCAAGAAACATCTTCAATTACTTGTATGCACATGTACATACGTACAAATGAATGATTATTAAGGTATTCCTCATTTTTTTTTTCATTTTTTAGAGTTTTCCTCATAACCTCACTCTATACATACACACACATATATACATACAGAGTTGGGTTCCGAAGAGAAAGAAAGTTATATTGAAAAACGTAAAAAAAGATCTCCACCATTGGAGCAATGCTAATTGAATATCAATACTAACGAGATGCACCGAGATACACCAAATCAATTCCCTTCTAAAACACAATTGATGGGTGAGTATGAGATTAAAAGTGATCAATAGTTCAGATCTCTTCTTACGCTGCTCATTATAACTTCCTTTTTTAGACGATTCTTTGCTATACATACATGGGTCAAATTTTTATCAGAGTTATAAACAAAACGATAATGGTACCATATCAGTAATTAATGGGATGAACAAGAACGATAAAGAACTGTTTTGTAGAACTCTAAAGGTACATTCATAATCTTTATTTATGAACAATAACGATACACACACACACACACATATATATATATATATATACACGTATATACACACACACGTACACATACATACATACATACCGACAAAATCAGTAACAAGTCGGCCATTGCTGAACCTTCCGGTAGCCATATGGTTGTCGAAATCTCTGCCGTAAGGTGGGAAGTTCCCTCTGGCGATGGTGGGAAGGTAGTTGTTGTTTCCAGGGTCGACAGTGGAGTCTCCAAAGACAAAAACAGCAGAGATTGTGTTATTCATATGTGCATAAGAATATTGCAGAGATAGAATCATGATGACGAGAGGATGCAAAAACAGAAAAGAGTTTAATTTGGTATTCATTTTCAGTCTCAAAGGTTTTTTATGATAGCATACAATTATAACCTATATATATATATGTATATATATATATATATGTATATATATATATATATGTATATATATATAAAGAGTTTGACCCACAAAAGGTATGCCTTTTGGAGTTAAAAGGATCATTTTGATTTCATCAATAACTGAATTTCTAATTATAAGTCGTTGTTTGCAAACAAATTAAACCAAAGATTAGTATCTTTTTAACATATAAATTAAGAGTGGAAGAGATTTATACGAGAACGGTAATAAATTGAGAAGAAAATAACTGTCAAATCACTTGTGATTTTATACTAAAATAATGTGTAAAATCATACGTGATTCACGTGACTTTGACAACGACTTATTGATTCCCCCAATAATTGATAGTCGATGGCTTTACTGACGGACGGATGGATTTTTCTGTGGGTAAAAGACCGGTGTTTTTTTTATTAACCTGGATATCCAACCCGCTATGCGAGCCAACTAATTCCAGGGCAGCCACCTGCTTTGCAGATAGCCCGGAGTCACCGCATTTGAACCTCCGTGGCTACAAAGGGATTTTTATTTCTCTCTGGATTTGAACCTGAGATCTCCTGATATTTTTGACCTTTTAAGTCAAGCTCAAACCAATCAAACATCATGGTTATGATTAAAAGACCCGTGTTTTGTTTTGTATAGTAGTGAACTTTTGTTTTGCTTTTGTATGAGTAACAGCATGTAATCAGTCAATGCTAGAATTTTACTAATTAACAATTATTTTATTAATTTGTATATTTCTACAATATTTTAATAATTGTTATATACTAAACATATTATATAGTTTTTATATAATATTTATATTATTAAGGGACGAAACGGATTTTAAGTTGATTCCCTTCATTAGCAATAATACTCAAAAGTCGAATAGATGATAGAAATAGTAAGTTATGAGATTGTGATGTTTTCACTTTAAAGAAACTTTTAATTTATAATCATTATTATAAATTGATGGATGATATTAATTTGGATTAATTATATGGGTTTTATTATATTTCCCAACATTTAATATGTAATAATTAATTAATTATAAAATATTTTTAAATATGTATTTTTATAGTTTTTTACATGGGTGATGTTGCATCCAAGTTGTCTCTCCTTTTTCCTTTTTATAAGTTTAAATGGTTGTGTGAGTCTATTTAATGTAAACCAACTACTGCTTGTGATAGGTTTTTGCTACTTGCTAACTGTCCTGATAGTTGCCACCATTAAGAAATGGACCAAATCTTCATTTATTACTTGGCATGTTAGTGTGTACATTTCATTTTGGCTTAGACAACAAGGGTGGTCCAAGCTTGAGTAAGGTGTTTGCATGTGTCTTTTTAGGGCTACTAATTAATTTGCTAGTGTGGACCGATCGAACTTGATTGATCATCGAGTTCATGCTTGAATATGTAGAAGTGCGGATCACCTGTTCTAACAAGTGTTCGAACTGGTATGATATGTGGAAAGTGGCTTGGAGTAAAGAGCTTGAGAGCATACGAAAAACAAGCAGACTCTTTTTGTTATCGGTCTATATATACTTGGTTAGGACTTACAGGTTGCAATGTTCTCTTGTCCTTTGTGTCGTCCAACCGAGAGTGAGAGTAGGTGGTTTCCTCAGTTTGAAGTACATACGAGATCCCTTATCGAAAGTTTGATCAAGTGGTCCATATATGTATTGACAGACACTTTGAAAGGACGTATCAAGAACATCTTAGATGGAATATGCAGTTGAAGCACCCCTCAATGTTCTTAACTAAGTCCTAATTAATAAATCTCATGTATTTATGTCTTTATTCAATCAAACAAGTGTCTAACATGGACACTACTTTTCTCTAATAGGAATGATGGTTGACTTAATATGAAGAATCGATGATGTTTGCCTTTTCTCTCATATTTTTATTGAAGAAGATAACGATATGTACAACTAATAGAAATTTAGGGAAACAACATGTATGCCACTTGTATCACAATTACAAGAATGATCCCCATAATATAATATATATTACAAATATATTAAGTTAAGATCCTTCCTTAAATTCAAGGTGGTTGATAAGAGACCAAGTTGAGTTTAGAGAGAAGAAAAGGAAGACGTACAAGGTGATGAACTTTGGTGAATGTGACAACAATTTGAGTTGTCGAGGAGATGGGTAGGAGCTGAACTATGTGACCTAGAACGTGTTGGCATACAAAGTGGAAGCCAGTCTCATTATGTTTGTGTGTTCATGAAAGACATCTTTGTGATCAATTTCCAATAGGAGTCATGTCACACCATTAAATTACAATTATAGGAGAGGATTGAGGAATACCCATATCAGCAAGAAGCCACCTGAGCTATACAAGCTCTTGTGTGGTGTCAGCAAAAGCACGATATTCAACTTCAATGTTGGAGTAAGCAGTAAGAGATTGTTTCTCATTACCATTTTTAGTTTATTTAAGAAATATCATTAAATATCTCAAACGAGTGGTTCACATTGGATCTCATGGTTACTACAAACTAATCAGTTCTCCCTTGAAGGTCCCCTATATATGTACATATGTACATATGTATATATATATATATATACACACACACACATATATAGGGTTGGGTTCCAGTAAGAATGAGAGTTTTAGTGAGAAGCGTAAGAAGAGATCTCCATCCTTATATATATATTAGATGTGATGCATTGAGATGAGATGTACCGTGTAACACCCTGATTTTTCCTATTTTAGCTAATCATGTCTTCTATTTGAAGTTTGGAAGTTTAATGTTGATTTTTGGTTCAAACATCTTTTGGTATGTTGGTAATTGTTGTAGGGTTGTGAGGTATTCATAAAAGGACCTCATCGGGTGAAAATTTCGTACCGTGCAACCTTCTCTTGGACCTCAAGTCACGCGGGAAGTCGCGTAATCCTCTGTTTGGCACATCATTGGGTGCACAACTTGTACCAGGACCTGATGTCGCACTCCAGGTCTCGTAGACCACTAGTTAGTGTAGTAAAGGGCCGATTTTGGGATTTCAGTCTCATTTTCTCACCAACTCCTTTCCTATTCGTTTTTTCTTTCTTCCCTCTTCATTGATTGCGATTTTTGGAGCACTTACTCACCTTTCCAACTGTTCTAAAGGGTTTAGTCATCATCCAAGCTAAGGATCAAGATTTGAGTGCAAGATCCAAGTGTTCATCTCCATTTCTAGGGTTTTCGTGATTTCTAGGCTTTCATCCAAAACCTAGCATTGTGAGTTCATCCTAAACTTTTATTAAACAATATGCATGATAAAATAATGCATTTTAGTTTCTTAAGGTAGCTTTTGGTACACAGATATGATTGATGTTACACCCCATTTTCACATTTGCAAATAACCACATATTCCATTTAACATGAAATACAAATTTATACATTGGTCCCAATATATACAAAATGCCATACTCAAAAGTAGCTACAAACTTTTTCTATTCACATCAAGCATAAGACTTGTAAACGTAACAAGTTCTCAAGTACATATATAACAACTTCCAATTCCCAGATGTAATGCAATCATGATCCCTTTCATATTTTTCCTTTTCCCTTATCCTCCACTTGTGCTCGACCATTAATGCACATTTTTAAAATAAAACGAGGGTTAGATCATAAGATCTAGTGAGAAATCCCTTTTGATTGCTATTACATGGTGAAAATCACCAAAACACTTTTAGAAAGCACATATTTGTATAAATAACAAATAAATAGTGTTTTATAAAAGCAAACCTCTTTGTCGCATCATATAGATGAGACAATCTCATTTTTATCACATCAACCCATGAAGCACCAAAGCTATCGTAACAATCATAATCATACCAACTTGTCGCATCTCATCGATGCGATTACATTTTTATCACATCATATCAATTTTGTCGCATCATATAGATGAGATAGTATTCTTCTTCACATCACATGGATGCAATAAATATCACTTGTCGCATCACAAGGATGCAATAACCCAATCTTGTCGCACCTCAAGGATGCGATAATACTACTCTTCGCATCACAACGATGTGATCAATACCTTTCTCACATCACATGGATGCGATAACATCATCTTATAGCATCATACATATGCGATAAATCAAACTCATCGCATCATGAAGATGCGATAACAGTTCCACGTTATCAAAAATCCCATTTTTACATAAAAAGGTTTTGTCACCCTTATCCCAATATGCTTTCTCCTGATTATGTCACCCTTATCCCAAAATACGTCTCTCCTGATTATGTCACCCTTATCTCAAAATACGTCTTTCCTGAGTATGTCACCCTTATTCCAACCAATCAATAATAACACATCAAAACACCAAATTATGCTAAAAATAGCATATGATTAATTTCAAACCATCCCACATATGGAACCATACAGTTTTGTATTATAATCACAAAGAGATGAGGATGATATATAACAGCAAATTATCCAATCAATAACATTAATCAACAATTTTTTCTTCTTCTTTTTCTTCATCTGTATTTTTTGCTTCGAACCAGAAAACTCTCACCAACACAATTAAAGAAATAAAGAAAAGAAACCATATATATATATATATATATATATATATATATATTTAAATCAATAGGCGTTTAAAAAAGATATTTTTAACCAATTTTCAAAACAACCCCTCAACTATTACCACTTATTCAAAACAGCCCCAAAAGTTTATAACCGATAAAACCCGGTTATCACAATTGGACAGGATTGGACGAGACATAATTGGACTGGACATAACAAGTGTATTTCTGGTGTTTGGTACGACTAGGATTGGATGGGATAGAACTAGACAAGTTACTCACTAAAGTTATTTGATGATTTTGAGTATTACATAATAGTTATAATTAACACAAATAAAATAAATAATTAAAAATTTTAATTTATAAATATGTTTACACAATTTTCACATAAATACATACATACATAATGGTACCAATTTTGAATGAAAATTTTGATATAATTGATGGTAGTAGTAGTGGTGGTGGAGGTGGTTTTAGTTAC